GGGAGGATGGGTTAGCCCGGTGATGGGTATTAAGGAGGGCACGTACCGCATGGAGCACTGGGTGTTATATGAAAACAATGAATTGTGGATCACTACATCAAAAAATAATGATGCATTGTATGGTGACTAACATAACATAATAAAATTTAAAAAAATAAATAAAAAATCATAACAGTGCTATGAGGAGCAATGACGATCCCCACTTACAGATGAAAAAATAGAGGGGCAGTGAGTTCTATGTTTTGTTCAAAGCAAGGACACGGTGGCTTGAGCATTTAACCACTGCATTTGGGGTCACTGAACAAAGATGCTTGTGGGGGAGATAAAAAGACCGAATACTTGGCAGATAATAGGGTCTAGGCATGGAGGCCCTTCTGGGTACTGAACCCCAGAATGCTAATCTAGTGTGCTAGTGACCTTTAGTGGGCATAGGGATTCAGAGACAGGGAATACTGGCAAAACGTGGGATGTAGGTAGAGAAGGGACACTTGGGAGACCCCAAACTATGTGAGAATGAACCTTTATGAGGATTCAATATTAGCTGTGATGCGATTAATCATTCAGATGTGCCTAGAATATTGTTGGGGCAGATTCTGGGCACAAGATCATATTTTCAGGATGAAATATCACAGGAGTCTAGAACTTTCTTGAGCACCAAACACAGAAGTGTCTGGAATGTTGGCAATAAATAAATATTTGAAGGGGTATAGGATGTTGTCAAGGAAGTTCCATTCACGGGACAGAGAATATTGTTGAGACGGGCCAATGGGTGTATTTAGTGTGTTCCACAGACAGAACATTCAGATGGCTATCAGCGATTATGTTGAAACAGTGGGAGTCCTGGAATGTTGTCTGGGTTGGAACGTTCAGGGTACCAAGGTGTTTCAGGATGCAGTATCTGGGAGACCATAATATTGGAAGTGACTGAATGCTTTTGAAACACGAAACGTCAGCTAGGATCAGACACACTGAGAACATGGATCACTGGTTCAAGTAGAACTTTGGGAGGGGCCAAGATGGGCTGGGCTAACTGGACAAATGGAGTGAGGAGGGCACAGAGGGAGGAAGGAGGCAGGTGAGCCAACCAGGCTTTTATTGTGGGCCCTTCGTCCATTTCTGGTCCTGGGTTTTATGTTTTCGAATTGTGTCTTGGATCCACAGAACATACTGAGAGACTCGAGTGTAGACACCAGGCCGGTTTGGCTGACCGCATGGGAAGTCTCCCCAGGAGATGATGCCATGGAGTGTTCCATTACAGACCAGGGGGCCCCCGGAGTCGCCCTGAGTGGGGGAAGAGAGAGAGGTGGGGTCCTTGGTGGAGCCAAGGGCACAGGCTGGGACATGTGGGAGAGAGTGAAAAATAGAGAGAGACACACTCAGAGGCAGAGACAAAGAAAGACAGGCACACAGAGAGAATGAGAAACAGGAAGACAAGAAGACAAACAAAAGAGACACAAAGGGAAAGATGGAGCTGGATGCACATGGAGACCAAGAGTAAGACTTCTCTCTCCACATTTTTCTCTGCTCCTCAGTCTCATCAGAGTGGTGACACCTTACCTGAACGCCCACTCCCAGTTCTCTGGCACTGCCTCCCCCCACCCCCCAACTCTGCTGTGCTTTTATGGTTCCCTGGAGCCATCTCACTACTGAGTAAACTCATCCACATCTGGTTAGGGTATGCCACACATGTATTTCCACTTCTCCCCCCTGGACCCAAGACAGACGTCACTGATTAATCGAGGCACACATCATTAATTCATTCACTGCTCTTTCCCACTGAACCAAAACTCAGTCTCAGAAGCCTCCTCTATTGAACATAGGTTTTGTTTCTTGTGTTTGTGGAGGTTTTTGCCCATGTAGTATTATTTCCCCTTATTTTGGTAACTGCCTCCTGATTTTCTTTTTTTGGGGAAAGTCCCCTCCCTTTCCCTCAATCCTTGCTTATCCCTGCCCCTTCCTGGCCCACATAGTCAGTCCCATGACAGACTTGGTCCATCAGAGAATCCCACAGCTCTGGCCAGAGTGATGGTCCAGGACACATGACCTAAGTCAGACTAGTGAGACTCACACTCAAGATGTTTACGTAAACACCTGGAAAACTCTTTTTAGTCAAGTTGCTTAGGAAGGTGGGATGTAAGCCCAAAGCTGCTGGGGCCATCTTGCTATTGCATGGGAAAAGCTTAATTGAGAATGAAGACAAAAACAGAAGAGAGAAGAGCAGAGTTGAAAGGAGACAGAGTCCTAAACATATTATTTGTGCACCTGGATCCATCTGTGTCTGAAGCAAGATACCCCTGGACTTTTCAGTTACAAAAGCCAGTGTGTCTTGCTTAAGCTGGTTGGAGTTGGGTTTCTGTCACTTGCGTCCGAAAGAATGCTAACTTTTATGAATCTCAACACAGGGATCTGGGCCGCCACTGTCAGTCAAAGCTAAGGCTTACGGTGAATTATATTCTACAGCCATGGGTACTCTCTTTTTATCTTGACCCTCTATGCTAGGGGACATGTCATTTTAAAAGACTGCTTCCTTCAAGGCTAGAAGCAAGTCCCTTCCCCCCAGCATCTGTCCCCACCTCCATCCTTGCTTCTCATCGTGGCCCACAGCAACCCACCACCCCCTTGTTCTCACCTCGCAGGAGTCCTTGCCACCCTCCTCTGTGCCGGCACAAAGCATGTTGGGTGTGATCCTCCCCGGGTAGACTTGACGACACTCCTCATCTGAGCGTAGCTGGATGTTGGCACATTGTAAGGTTTGGGGGTAACTCACTGGGAAGGAGAGAGAGGAGGGTCTAAGGATGTCTGTCTAGGACAGGCTATGGGGTGGGAGTTAAACAGGACAGTCGGTAGAAAACGGATGGAAGGGGGAAGATGGGGAAGAGATGGGACATGTATCTGGGGAAAGTGATGGAGGAGGCAGGTGTGGAGAGAAACAGGAGGGAAGTGGAGGGGAAGATGGAAAGAATGCACGAGATTGGGAAGGAAGAACCATAAAAGGGAGGGAGCCGAGGAGAGGGATGGTGGGAGATGGTGAGAGACAGAGGACTGGGGATGGGGAAAACAAGGAAGAGAGATGGCAAGTCAGGGAGGAAGAGGGAATGAGATGGAAGGAAGCCTGGGCACCAGTAAGAAGATGCAAAGGGCCCTTGCTGCTATAAGGATCAACTTTCTATTCATGCACATGTAATTTATACACAAAGGATACACCTCCATTTCCTTATGTTTAACAAATACATACCTGCCAATATCAAATTTATGTTACATATTTATTTAAATATGTATTAAAATGTATAATTTATATAATACATAACTTATATTCAAACATATCTAAATATAGGATTTATGATTTAGAAAAATCAATCTATATAATCTGCATATACAAATGTATAGTGATGTATATTTATATAAATATACATGTGATATATAGCATATGCTACCATATTTGTTTTTTAATTTATATATTTATATAAAGAATATGTAAGTTTATATGATATTTGATCTATAACATTATATATAATATAACTTTACAACTCTATGTACATTTACATAAGATATATATATAACATAACTTTATACATATTTATAAATTTAAATATATTTTAAAGTATCTATAACTACATAATCTATGACATATAACTATATAAATAGACATTTATATAAAGGATATATGTGACATATATAACTTTATATATTTATAAATTTATATATTTATATGAAGGATATATATATAAAACACACATATGTGATACATAACATTTAACTATACATCTTCTGTTATTTATATATATAAAGGAATCCTCCTCCAACCTTCCCTCCTGTTTCTGCCCCAGTTTTCCCAGCCACTGATACCTCAGGCCACCTGTGAGGGTGCCTACCCTGGGGGCTGGTGGTGGTGCCCCAGCCAGACACCTGACAGCAGGTACCAGCGGGGAGACGGTCGTTGTGGGAGAGAGGCAGGACACGGATGTGGTTCGTGGGCTGGACTGGGAACTGCAGCTCCAGAAGCATGATGTCGTGGTCATGGTTCAGGTGGGTGGGGCTGCTCTGGTATTGAGGGTGGGGGATAGAGCGGACTACCTCCCTCACCTGCTCTCCGGCCTCCGAGCGCCCCAGGGCATGCTTGCCCAGGTAAACTCTGTACCCGCTGTGGGTGCAGGAAGGAGGTGATTAGAGAGGATAAGCCCATCTCCACCACTTTCCTCCTCTCCAAACATCTTCCACACTTCAACTCCAATCCCCTTCCCAACCCCAGCCCCAACTCCAACCTCATCTCAATCTAGCTTCACTCTCCCACCACCCCAGTCCCATTTTCGTCCCTACCCTCATGCTGCCCTGACCCCCACATACTCCTTCAGACAGTGTGCTGCAGTGAGGACCCATCTGGGGTGGACCAGGACTCCCCCACAGAGCAGCCGCCCTTGAACTAGCAGGGCTGCCTGCCAGGGCTGAGAGTGGGGGCGGCAGGTGTAGCGACCCGGGAGAAATCCGCTGGTCCCATTGGTGCCATTGAGAATCTTGGGATATTCCTGAGAGATGCCTGGTGAAGAAGAGAAAATGTTAGGAAATTGGGGTCCGGGGCGGGGAAGGAGGCACTGGGCTTGGGGAGAGGGTCAGAATTTTGCTCTGGATGACCAGGAACTGATGATTCACTTGTTGGCCTCTAGGAGTTGCCATCTTCCATGTAATGGAGATGAGTCAGGGCAAAGAGATGATGAAGTCCTTTTCCGCGCAAGTGCTAACTCCGTCGGGGGTTCAGAGTTCATGGAACAAGGAAGCTTCTGATGGGTAAGCGGAAGCCTGACTTTCTCCCCACCTGCATTTCCTCATCCCACCGTGGGGATGGATTTCAGGAATAGGGATGAGACTGACCTACACATCTACCTAGGCAGTAAGTATGTATCCATCCATCCATCCATACATCCTTCCAACATGTATTTACTGGGTGCCTCTATGGCTTTAAATACAACCCATAGCCTAACCACTCTCAAATGCAAAGTTTGCAGGACTCTATCACTGGACTCTTGCAAGCCCCTTTGGCCCCATCTCCTACCTGTCCCCTTCACACACTCTGTTCCAGACTCGTGGACCCATTCTCCAGACACAGTTCTTTATCTAGTTCTGTGCTGCTCAAAATGGTAGCCACTAGCTACATGTGGATATTTAAATTTAAACTAATTGAAATGAAATAAATTCAGTTCTTCAACCACACCAGTTACATTTGAAATGCTCAAGAGCGCCACATGGCCAGTGGCTACCATATTGGACAGGACAGACATAAGACATCATATATAGGAAATATTCTACTTGATGGCACTCAGAATCTACAGGTTATGTGTCTGTGTCCTTATTGACTCTGAGAGCTCAGCTCAGCTCAAATATCACCCCCTCAGAAGCCATCCCAGATTCCTGGCCACCTGGTCTAATAGTGTCCCTCCCAGACCCCCAGTCACTCCCTATTACATCCCCCCCAGTTGATTTTCATCAGAACCATGCTCACTACTAATTTCTCTTTATATTTGTTTACATTCCTGTGCCAATCACCAGCCTTAGCTTCCTCAGCTGTAAAGCAGGAAAACATCTCTCAGGGCGCCTGGGTGTCTCAGTCGGTTAAGCATCTGCCTTCGGCTCAGGTCATGATCCCAGGGTCCTGGGAACGAGCCCCGCATTGGGCTCCCTGCTCAGTGGGGAGCCTACTTCTCCCTCTCCCTCTGCCACTCTCCCCTGCTTGGGCTCTCTTTCTCTCAAATAAATAAATAAAATCTTTAAAAAAAAGAAAAAGAAAACATCTCTCATTGGGCACAGTACCTGGCATTAAGCAAATGCTCAGCGAGGACTCTCATTAATTATTAGCTACAACAGGAGGTCCCCAGCTCTGTGGCCAGCAGGTTCCTCTCCTCTGTGGGCCAGCTCTCCCACCTGCATAAGCCTCAAGATTAGCTCAGTGGTTCTCAAAATTGGGAACAGGAGTCATTGGTGGGCACAAGGTCATTTTAGGTGGTATGGAGATGAGGCATGAGTGACACCAAATTGCAGCCTTGGAAACAGAGTCACTGCCCAGTTCTCTTCCAGTCCTGATTTTGTTGAGGAAGAACGTCTCATGATGGGGCTACTCTGCTTTTAACACCTCTCTAATCCTCGCTGAGCTCACTTTTTATTTTTATTTATTTTTTAAAGATTTTATTTATCTATTTCAGACAGAGAGAGCACAAGTAGGCAGAGAGGCAGGCAGAGGGAGAGGGAGAAGCAGACTCTCCACTGAGCAGAGAGCCCGATGTGGGACTCGATCCAGGGACTCCAGGATCATGACCTGAGCTGAAGGCAGTCGCTTAACCAACTGAGCCACCCAGGCGCCCCTCCCCTCCTTTCTAAGCCAGCGCCAGAGACCCATGACTCAAGGTGATCTGAGAGCTGGGTTCTAATCCCGATTCCCGGCGAGGTGAGGAAGGCTGAGGGAGAGTGGGACGCCCACACCTGGACCCCTCCGCACCCTGTGCAGGAAATAGGCAGGAGGGTAGGTGGCTAAGAGCTCAGACTGTGGAAGGGAGAAGCAGGGAAAGCAAGAGCAGAGAGAGCCCAGACAGAGAAGGAAGAGATTTCGAAATAGGTGATCAGGAAGAGACTCTGAAGAGGTTTCTAAACTGGGTTCCCCAGAGTTGATTCTAATTGAATTTTCTCAACGCACAGTCCACCCTGTTTCCTGCAGAGAAGCCCACTCTTCCTATTAGCATGTGGTCGATTTATCTAATTCCTTGAAAGTCTGGGGTTTTTTCTGCATGAGGGCTTCCACTGAGAAAGAAAGGGACAGGGGACGGAGAGAGAACCAGGGACAAGACAATCTGTGCTGTCCTTAGCTTTTGATTTGTTTTGAGACACCACCTAACTCAAGCCCTCTCTATTTCTGGATTTCTGGGGGCTCTGCTTTTATGGAGATGCAATTTACATGCCATATAATTCACTCTCAGCTCCAGTAGGGAGCTGCCCTCTGGAACACACACCAGCACTGTCAGTTCCCATGGCTTTTCAAAAGAAGCTGGAAATTCAGATTTATGGTAGGACATTTCCTGATTTTAAAATACTGGCCAGGACGCCTGACTGGCTCAGTCAGTAGAGCGTGCCAACTCTTGATCTTGCGGCTGCAAGTTCGAACCTCATGTTGGGTGTAGAGATTACTTACAATAAGAAGTCTTTAAAATAAAATAAAATATCGGCAAAAAACCCAAAACACCTATGGTTCCCCAACAGATTTCTTTCTCTCTCCCACTCTCTCTTGTCTTCTCTTTCTGCCTCTACTTTTTTTTTTTTAAGATTTATTTATTCATTTATTTGACAGAGAGATAGAGAGAGCACAAGTGGGGTGGGGAATGGCAGAGGGAGAGGGAGAAGCAGACTCTTGCTGAGCAGGGAGCCCGACATGGG